TGATCAATTTTTTCTAGAAAAACTGAAAATGCCTCAATATTTGAAGAAGCAATCAGTGAAATGATAATAAAAAACATTTTAAAAACCAGCTGACAAAACATAGATCACATGATTGTTTAAATACACTCTCATTAATAATTGAAAACGGTTTATTTGAAAAATAAACAACATTCCATTCGGAAATAAAGATTGAAACACTCAAGCCTGATTTTTAACATGTACAGATCACAATCACAATCCGAAGCAATGTTGGCTATTCCGAGCGGTAATCTAATAGACGAAAATAGAACGAAGATTTTGATAAATTGTGAACAAATCTATATGGAGAAAAAAAATTGACTACGTACATCATAGATCTCTTACGACGTCAATAACTATTCATACGGGATCGAATTTCTAAATATATATTTTCGACAAGATAAAGTAAAATTTACATATGACTTCCACCCTCATCGTTTCTTACGCAACATTAACATATTTTTAGAACACGTCAACAAAAACATCAACACATGGATAAACCGTCGACTACCGGAGGGCATGATAAAATATATAAACACTAACATCGTTGTACAGTAAATTGTACAATGAAAACGAACGATTTTACACCGAAATATCGTGAAATAAAGGTGCGATCTAGGTTAAATTGCTGAAAAAATTTGATCAGATGGGCTAATATATCGAGTCTTACAATTTACATGCATGTCACCTGACGATATAAACAGCTAGAGGCTTGCAACATAAGCTTACCACTGGTTGTGTTTTTCTCTTCAAATGCGCGTCTTTATCTTTCTTCCACGTCGGTAAATTCTTAAGCTTTTCTCTGAGTAGCGCCTGTTCCTCTAAAATAGGCCTGATAAGAGAGGAAGCAAGTGATTTCAAGCTAGGACCGGTTTACAAGGAGCCAAAGGAGATCGATTATGAATCGAGAACTCACTTTGCCGATTCTGTAATTTTTGTTGCTGTAGGCTTTTTCTCGTCTTCAGATCTTGACACCTCCTTTCCTTGTTTCCCAGGTTTCTTCCATGGCGGAAGACATCCATCTGTAGGACTCTGGGCGGCCATTAATCCTTACGAATATCCGATCAATATTTTTAAACTTTCCCCCAATAACGTGTTTGTCGTTTCCTCTAGAAGGAATTCGACCTTGTGGCGGGAGAACAAAGCAGAGGAATACGTCATTTTTGACCAATCATAAGGGAGAAACTTGAATCGTCAATTCCTCCCGCCTTCCTTTTACCAAATATGGTAAGTGATAGCACAAAAGCCTCTTGCATCTTATTTCCACGTCGCCATGGAGGTGAAAACAACCTTCTATCCATCGTTGCCTGCCTTGCAAATTTAAATCAGCGGCTAATGAGTGTTATTGTTATTTGCATCTCGTAGAGAATATTTAGAAGATCTATTCAATTTTTTAAGGTTAGCCTCAGGCCGATTTTCCACTGTTCCGCGAATGTTTGCAGCTGCTGGCTGAAAGCTGCTCCATTTTTATCTGGAATTGGACGTTTTCCGAGCATGTGATGCATGCAAATTTTTAGGAACTCAAAATTTGCGTTGTTCCGTTCTGGAAACCGATGGCATCCAGATGTATTCAAACTCTTAATGATCTGGACAAGATATCCGATAGGATCTACTCCAAACATTCAAAGGTAAACACTTGGTTAGCATTTGCATCGTGAAGCTACAGTAAATTTTCTGCCCTCCAAATTATAACTTGAGGTCGACCTGTTACCTTAATTGAGCTAATTATCAACAGTTGTTTTCCTTGGACAATTTGTTTATTATGTTTATTTTAAATATTTAGGGGCGTTTTCGTGCTGGTATTGAAGCCAAATTGAAAGCCGCGAGAGAGAAAGCCGAACGATCGTTGCGGGAAATCGACGAAGAATCTCCTTCATGCAGTTACAAGGAGACAAATATTTGTCGATCTAGTATCAGGTAACGTATTCTGAACTCGAATTCCGCTCATATGAAAATTTAATTAACGAATTAGGTAGGTAAATCATGGTAAATGCGAGAAGGGAAACGGCTATGTTTCCATTTTGAAAGGGAGATTGAGAACAGAGAAGCTTATCAGCTAGAGGATGTTATTTTGGGCTAACACTAAATTCTCCTGTCTGGTTCTGCTTCTACAACCATTTGTAAAAATGTTGAGACAACCTAGGCAAAAAGTGCATTTACTGACCTCATCGATTGGATAAGAAGAACTTTTGCACCAAAATCTAAAAGCTGCCCCCTTCCCTGGTTCAATGTTGTTCATCAATGTTTTGCACATGGTACTGCTTAACTAAATATACTGACATCGCAAAGGGGAAGGTTGGAAGGATCAACTTTCCCCTCCTGTGGGCTAAACACTGCTTCTTAGTGCACCATGCCACAGAAACCAAGGCCATGACCACTGGGATCTTATAATTAACCTTAAACTATAACATGGAAATGTGATCTTTAGATTATAGGCCAGCAGATTTCAAATTAAGCTGAGTGGTACATGATTTACATAAAACCCCACCACCCATAGCACCTCACCACCCATAGAACCTCACCACCCTTCCAGCATTGTGGAAAAAGGAACAAAAGTTACAAATCTTTGTATCATTTCAGGCCATCAAGTTCAACTCCATCCTCCAGAACTTTTTCAACGTCTGTTTCCACTTCATCAAGATATGTAACTTCAGAACGTCAAAGCAAAATACGAAGAGAAAACGTACACAAACCTTCCTCTACAAAATCAGCTCCAAATGAGCAAAGAGCCAGAGCTCAGAGGAGGAAAACCAAATCGTGTCCAAGCTGCTCAATGGCTGACAAAACAGAGGAGGAGCAAAAAGATTGCAGTGGCCATCTTCCTTACACTGTGTCATTTTTTGGCAAGTACAATGGAAAAGACTCAGAATATAAACCAACTGCCTGGTTCAACCTCCCTCAAGAGACAAGCGTTGGTGTGATTGATACTTTTGCTTGTGATGAGAAGAACAAGAGGCCAATTTGTTACTCAGTGGATAATAAAAAAGGGGAAAGTGTGCCTAATCTTTTGAAACATAACCTGCCAGTGAGGGTGGGACAAAATGGTATTGTAAGAACTGAGAAGAAAGTGGAATTAATACCGGAAACTTATGATGGAAATACAAAGCAAGGGAAGAAACGCACAGCTCCACTGAACTGGGAAGAGCAGCTGAATTGGCATAATGTGAGTCTCCTGAGTTTCTTTATTGTTAGCACTTTATTAGCAGGCTCCAGACAAATCTAGACATGCCTTTCTGCCAGGTGGTCAAGAAGGCCGTGAGCCTTGTGAGTCCTTTACTGCAGTAGTGTGGGTTTGATAGTCTGGTAGTGGTGACTGACGTTTTGACAAACTGAGCAGAAGTCATCGTCAGAGTCAAGTGAATAGCCGTTGTCAGTCAAATGTTGTAAGTCTTAACTCCCAAGATCTCATAAGTAATTCTCCTTACTGTCTCTCATACAGTTCTTGTAATGTAATTTTGGAGAATTTGGTATTGGATCAACTGGTAATCCCCTAACCGATCTTTTTCTTTATTCTCATCACTTGTTTGCTTGATATTGTATTTATATTTTAAGGAGAAATTCTGTCATGGTCACTCATGAGAGTTAAAGGGTTAACTTAAATTCAGTTTTTATCCAACCTCTTCATTGAAATATGATTTCTTGATTTATAAATGGAGAATTCTTTTCATAAACAGGCATGTGTTGTTTCATCAGCCTTACAGTCAGAGAAGGATTCCTCCTCAAAGGTACGGGAACAATGTAAAAATTAGAAAAATGTGAAAAAATAGTAAGGCATTCCTGATTGTAATCAAGAAGGGTGGGGTAAAACAATTGATTGATGGGCGTGGGATGGGAGATAATAGGGGAATACAGTTTTTATCACAATTGGCTGTGATATCACAATTTGATTGGCTAATTTGTTGTTGTGGATACTAGGGTACGGACAATGCTGCTTGTGTCAATGTGTCACACAATGGTTACACACTAAAAGAATCATTTCATTTGATGTCATTAGCGTGGTCTGTACTCATATCAACAACAATATTTGTCATCACAGTGGTCAAAATTTGTTGCAGACTTACTCAGCTGTGCATCGTGATTCAACAACATTGTGACCACTGTGATGACAAATATTGGTTTTGATAAGAGTACAGACCATGCTAAACCACTGTCCATTTGTTAATTTGATCCTGTTTATAAGAAGACTTATCTTGAATGGTAATCTCCATGATCTAATACTTTCTACATCTGCATAATTCAAGTACACTTATTCCATTGATTAATTTCCTATTCAAGAGTTACTTGTTAGGCCCATTGAAAGCAGACTCAACACAGCTCTCAGAAGGCATAAACCTTCACGTTAAAAAAATTTACAATTATATTCAATTTTATGAGAGTAAATAAAAACAGTGTAATTTTTTAAACTTTGAGATAAAGTAGCCTATTTGCTGCATCAATGCCTTGCTTTTTTAATGAAACAATTGATGTTCTTTCCTTACATTATGATGCATCTAGTCAGGAGTTTGCAGAAAGAACTCTTTCAACTGACGATGTTGCTTCATCACCTTAAAACTTTTTAAAGGTAAATGTTAAATTAAAAATTCTATTATATAACAATGCACTTAAAATAAAACACTGCTGGTGAACAAAATAAATACATGATATATGTGCCAAAACATTATACTTTCACCTCTGTAATTTTTGTGAAGCATTTTTATTCCAATTATGAAGCAAGGGTCAATGCATTGCACCCATCTTACAATTTACAATACTACTCTCTGGGTCGCTTATGTGTATTACACTACCCGCATGCGTGTGTCAAACAAGTGTAGTAAGTGTGGCTTTACGAGACACGCGAAAGCTGTGCCATGCAAGTAAAACTTATGGCTATGATCCAACTCATAAATAAAGTATTTAAACAATACCTCAGTAACTTAAGCAGCTAGAAGTGTGTAAAGTTTAAAATGTGAGGTACAGAATCTTCTGGACATCTTAACTGCGATCTTTTTGCAAAAAAAAATTTAATTTTAAAGCTAAAAGAGTAAATTTTAGTATTCCTGGCTGCTGGAGAAATGAGTAGAAGTTTAAAATTGAAAACCTTGTTGAGATAATGGGAAGAGTCTGGGTTTAAAAGTACTTTTGTCTTTTTGTTCTCGTAACTAAGATCTTTATTCATTTGATAGTTCTATGTTTTCCATAGGGCTTGTATGAATCACATCCAGTTATTTTCCACCACAAGAAAGCGCAGCAAAGGAATGTCTATACACGAAAGGAGGAAAACTATCTTTCACCTGCTTACAAGCTTAGTTTAGAACCACGCTGGGTATATCCCGATCGAAGGAACTTAATTTCCGCAAAAGATAAATGTATTACTGCTGTGGAAATCGAGGATAACAGAACTGATGAACTGGTGAAAGTCGGTATGGAAAGTGCAGATCGTGCAGAGCACGATGGAAAAGATAATGCCGACGAGTCTGCGAAACATAATGAAGAGAAGGTTTCCAAAAAGGTTACCTTCGAAGATGAAAGAGTTGTGAGAAAGAAAACAGCAAGGAATCCAAAAGGAAAGAATAGAGAGGAAAATGATAAGAGGAAAACTAATACTGTTGAAATAATTTCTAAAACTGACCAAGCTGAAAAAGTTAGTTTACAGCAAAGAGTTCGTCCTAAAACTAGTCAAGGAAGATCTGGAGGACTAGATGATGAAGTAATGGCGAGCGATAGGAAAATGTGTCGACCGCACTCTGCTCCTCCTGCTCCACCGTCCTCTCCAAGGCTCCCGATTGAATCCAGATTTTCCAGGTGTATGCCTATAACGATAACGATCCCGACACAAGGTGATTTAACAGAAAGCAGCAGCGAGTCAAACTTAGGAAACAGAATAAGCGTTGAACCAGAAACGCCTGCTGAAATCAGTGTAAGTGTTAGTCCTGGGGAAAGCGAGGAAACTCTCGTTGAAAGCGAAAAGAGTCCAGCATTTTCTGTCGACATTACTCCAAGTTCTTCACCTGAAAAACTCATCCCGAGGTGCGTTTCCTTCACTAAGGCTCCCAGATCTGCGCCAGTCTCTAGAACCACACCAAGACCTGAAAATGAAACTCTTCGATCGAGATCGTCCACAGCTCTTCAAAGAGAGCCATACAGGCGGCCCTCACCCGTTGTCTTTGAATCAGAGTCTTCTTTAGAGTTGCCCAAAGATTTGCCCCCCGCCCAAGCCGTTGTGGCTCTAAGGAAAAAAATTCGCGAAGATCTTGCCCAGCAAA